GGAGAGGGGGAACTTGGGGCGAGAAAGCTGCATACAGAGGTAGAGAGATGACATTACGCACAACGTCTCATATCTCTCAAGCACACATGATCACAGGAGTCGTGAACAAAGCAAACACTCATGTTATAACCCGCCCAGACCACGATGAGCCAGCTTCAGAGCTGATAATACCTGCCAATTCAGCGCTCCACCATCCACCCGGGCAGTGTGCTGTCATGCCTCCAACGAGAAAGAATAAATAAGTTGTCCTCAACTATTCGAAGGATCGCCAAAGAGGCACGCAGAAATAGGAAACAAAGGATGGCCTACCCTCCACACGTCCTCACAATAGATTGATCGCCAGCAGCTCTAAGGGAAGAACTGGTTCTGAGATCGCAAAAGCAAGCGACACAGCTCTCAGGAACACGGCGAAGAAGAGGAGGAAGTGTAATGCTGATGAACGTAACACAAATCAGGAAGAGACAAAAAAAAAAAAACAAGGGTGCACTTTTTATGTGCCCTCAAACAACACCCACCCACCCACCCACCCACCCACCCACCAAACCAACCAACCAACCAACCAACCAACCAACCAAGCAACCAACCAACAAATAAACAGACGAAGAAAAACAAACAAATAAACGAAGGAAGAACGAACCTGCGAGAGGAATCCCTGCTTCCTTACAGATGTCGACACCTCCATTGATGATGTCTTGAATTGCTTCTGTAGGCAACTTGTTTATGGGCATACCGAGAACCGAGAGGGCCAAGATGGGTGTGCCACCCATTGCATAGACATCGGAAATGGCATTCGTTGCTGCGATTCGACCAAAATCCCTTGCGTCATCCACAATAGGCATAAAAAAGTCCGTTGTGAGCACCAAAGCCTGGCTGTCATTCAGCTTGTACACAGCAGCATCATCAGACGTGGCGGTTCCCACAAGGAGGTTAGGCCCACCTGCGCTCCAAACGAAATGCAAAAGAACAGGACAATAGTAGAGATACAGATCAGTACATCGGGGCCTAAGGGCCACCTTCTCTGTGCTTGATCTCCCGCTCAAGAGAACAGGACAACGTCACAGAGACATCCTTCAAGAAAAAGAGGGCCATTTGGGAAGAGAACACAGAAACAGAGTCTTAGAACAATCGTCAGCAATGTACCAGCATGACAACTACATGCTTCTGTCGTAGTCCTCAAATTTGGTCTATCTTTTTTTGTGCTTTGTTTGCTCATATCACCTTTCTTTTGTGCACTGCTTTTCCGGTCAGCATATGGTCCAGGTTCATAAATCGGGAAACGACAAAGTAACCACTTTCCCTCAATTCTCCCCCAGAGCCATGCATCCATAATCGTCATGAATCACCAACCAACCAACCAACCACCTGAGCCACGTGGGATCACGGGGAAATTGGAGACTATCGGATTTGAACCGACAGCTTCATCCTTGCAAAACACAGACCCCAGCCATGGGGGTCATAAAAGACTATTAAAAGTAGATAAGAGTCTGATAGACACAAATGCGCGATCTGAGATTTAAGGACAGACGGAGGGCTATGTACTGCTCTTTATAAATGGTCGTGTTCTTGAGCAAGCTATGAAACAATAGCTAGCTCTTGATTCAAAGGTATGTAATATGTATGCATGCCAAAATCGACATATCGCTATAATCGGTGGTGGTATTCACAAGCGAAGTCTATAGGCCATTGCTTTTCAAGTATGTTGGTCACTGCTCCTCCTTTCTAGACAGAGCTAAGTTATTGTGCACACAACCATAACACCCAGGGATCTGAACACTCAACCTTAGCCTTGCCAAGGCTCCTCTCTATATGTCCTTGGGGGCATCCGTCAAAATTGGAACGATACAGAGAAGGGTAATTAGCAAATGACCCCTGCGCTTTCAAGGATGACACCCACAAATCGGAGAGATGGTCCAAAACTATTAAAAGAAAAAGAAAAATCATCGCCGATGCGGATGGACGACCCCATCTTAAAAAAAAAAAAAAAAAAACGAAGTACCATTTGGTTTTGGAAACGTTCAATTTTCCATTTCGTTTAACTGATTAAAAAAAGGGAAAATTTTCGAAATGCCCCTGAAGTTTGCGTTTATTTGTGATTTACCCCTCTGACGGCCGACTTACCCTGATTTGCCCCTCTGACAGTCATTCAAGTTTCCAAAAAAACCCTGGCGTCGTTTGGGCCTGAGACATTTTCAATATGCCCTACCGGTACCCGCACCAAATCTCCAGTTTGCCCCTACCGGATAGCCGTTCAGTACAGGCACAAGAATTTTCCATATGCCCCTACGGTACCGTACATCTCTTAGGTATGCCCTTCTGGTCGTTGCTGGCAGTAGCGGCTGTTCCCCTGGCCCTGGGAGGCTGGGAGATGTGCTACCCGGGCTTGTGTGTTGTCATATTCCCTATACACTCAAAAAAGTCATGACTGTGCCAGACTGTAGGTTGTGTGTGTGTGTTTGTGTGTGTGTGTGTGTGTGTGTGAGAGAGAGAGAGAGAGAGAGAGAGAGAGAGAGAGAGAGAGAGAGAGAGAACAGGAAGGTCTCAAGATCGAATGAATATACCGCTAGAACATGGAAATATACACTATACACTTCCACACGTGT